AGAGCAGATGAAAGAGAGATCTTTCCTATTATTCAGTAATGACTGCATCACTCACTTAGGAGCTTGTGTCTTTTTCCTTCCCCCACCCCTGCTCCACTAGTATCCAGCTCAGTTCTCTCTCCTTGTCCTTTGAGCACCCTCTTCTCCCCCCCTCTCCCCGTAGCCAATCCTGGTTCCCTGGCTCAGGCCTCCACCCACCTCTGTCCACCTGCTTCCTCTCCACTCCACAAAGGAGAGTTCAGTTCAAGGGCCATCACCAAAAATAGCACACTAGTTAACAGAGTATGTGAAAATCAAATAGAGCAGCCACCCAGTAGAACTGGGAAGAAGTTTTATTTTCAGAGAAACTCAAACTTGGCAAATGTTTGTGGTTCCACAAACGCAACACCAATGCTATTGCTGTTGTTAGGTGCCACTGTATTGACGACAACTCATAGCAAGCCAATGAACAGATCTGAACCTTGCCCTATCCTACATTGACTTCACGATCTCTGCCTTGTTCAAGCTCATTGTGGTTGTCACTGTGTCAATCCATCTCGTTGAAGCTCTTACTCTCTTGTTCATGCTTTACTTCGCCCAACATGATTGTGAAGATGGTAACACTTTGTCCTGTTATGCATGGGATAAGAGTCAGACATGACTCCTCGGCACCTACCAACAAGGCCATTGTCTTGAGATTCCACCGCCTTGGTCAGGCCAATGAGAGGGTTTAGGCCTGGTTTTGAGTTTAGTTCCCCCTCCCCACTCCACTCTGAATCCCCTATTGTGGGATTTTTCAAAGTGGTCAGCAGTGGTAGCCAGCCACCATGTAGTTCCTCTGCGATGAGACCTCACTTTAACTTCCAAACTTTATTTTATGCTAGGTAATTGTGAGGATTTTTATTTTTGTTGAAGTGTAATCTATATGAAAGACTTTGATTTTCATCAGTAAGTACTTCAAATCTCCTACACTTTCAGTAGATAGGGTAGTGTCATCTATGTATTGTAGATTGCTAATGAGTCTTCCTCCGATCTTGATAACTCTTTCTTCTTCATAGTCCAGCTTCTTGGATTTTTTGTTCAGCATAAATATTGTATAAGTATTGTGAAAGAATACAGCCTTGGCACATGCTTTTCCTGATTTGAAACTATGTACTGTTGTTTGTTCTGTTAAATTACTACCTATTCGTGTGTATACAGATTCCATACGAGCACACTTAAATGTCCTAGAATTCTCAATGTCATCCATAAGAACATCCATAAGAACAATCCACACAATTGTTCTTGTTGTTGTTAATATTCCATCGAGTTGCCTATGACCATGGTTATCCTATGAGGCTCTGAACCCTTCCCTGATCTGAGCCAGTCTCACTAATGCCAACACACCAACCCGCATTGCCTCAGTTACCGTATCAATCCATCTCATCCAGGGTTTTCCTATCCTACGCTGTCCCTCCATCTTTCTGAGCATGATGTCCTTCTCCAAGGACCATTTTCTCCTGACTATGTGCCCAAAGTCTGGTCTGTGTGTTGCTGTACAGAGGTAACTTGTGGTTGCTATGATGCTGTAGACTGTGACAGTGATGTGCCAGTGGGCACTCATGGTGGACAGTGTTGGCTGGAGCTTCCCGACTAAATCAAGCCTGGAAGCAGGAGCTGCATCCACTTCCAAAAAGTCTTGCCTCCGGAAACTCTATGTACGAACAGTGCTCAGGCCGCTCGTTCATAGGGTCGCTATGAGTCGTCTACGACTCAACGGCATCAAACAGCAACAACAACATGTGCCCAAAGTATGTGAGATCGAGCTTCAAAATCCTAGCCTCCAATGAGAAACTTAGTTTCATCCTCTCCAAGACAGACCTATTTGTCTTCTTGGCAGTCTGTGATATGTTCAAGACTCATCTCCAGCACCACAATTTGAAGGCATCAATTCTTATGTCATCCTTAGTCACTGCCCGGCTCTCTGAAGCATAACAAGTAATTGTGAAGACCATGGCCTGGAACAGGTGCACCTTAGTCTCTAGACTGACATTATTGCTTTTTAGCACCCTGGAGAGGTCCTTGAGAGCAGATTTTCCCAGTGCAATTTGCTTTTGATTTCTTGACTGTTGGTATTAAGAGTGTTGGTGGTGGAGCCCAGCAAGCTGTATTTGTTAACAACCTTATTCCCTTCTCCATCTATCATGGTGCTGCAAATTGGCCGAGTTGTGAGAATCTTTGTCTTCTTGATGTTGAACTTCAATCCATATTGAAGACTACAGTCCTTGACCTTCTGCGGCAAGTGCTTCAGGTCCTCCTCAGTTTCAGCAAGCAATGTTGTGTCATCTGCATATTGTAGGTTGTTGGTGAGTCTTCCGCCAATTTTTATGCCACATTTCTCCTCATAAAGCCCTGCTTTCCAAATAATCTGTTCTGCATACAGATTGAAATGGTATGGGGACAGGATGCATCCCTGATGCACTCCTGTCCTGATTTTGAACCATGCGATGTTTCCTTGCTCTGTTCTTAGGACTGCTTCCAAGTATAGGTTTCAAATAAGCACAATCAAGTGTTCTGGGATTCCCATTTTTCTCAAGGTTAGCCACAATTCCTTGTGATCCAAACAGTGAAATGTCGTTTTATAGTTAATGGTACTTTCTGTTTTCTGCCAAGATCCATCTGACATTGGCAATAATGTCTCTAGTGTCATGACCTTTTCTAAACCCAACTTGTATTTCTGGTAGTTCTCTGTTAATGTACTGTTCTAGTAATTTCTAGATAATCTTCGGCAGGATTTTGCTAGTGTGTGATATTAGTGATATTGTTTGATAATTTCCACAATCTGTTGGGTCACCTTTTTTTTGGAATGGGAATAAATACGGATCTCTTCCCGTCAGTTGGACAAGTAGTTGTTCTCCAGATTTTTTTAGCACAACTTGGTGAGCATATCCAGGGTAGCATCTTTTTGTAGAAATTTGTAAAAAAGAACAACATATTATATATATTCTTTATTTTATTTAAGCCTCTTGTGTGGCGTAAACAAGACCCCGTGGAGGACTTTTGCATTTAAAAGTTTGTTGTTACATTTTGGAGGAACATTCTGCTAAGTGGTACAGCACTCTTTTGTCAATCTGCTGTACTTAGATAACCTGGGGTTGCTGTGATGCTGAACCTTGTGCCACTGGGGTATCAAATACCATAACGGTTAACCATCGTGGACAGTATTTGGTGGAGCTTCCAGATTAAGACAGGTTTGGAAGCAAGAATGGCATCCACTTCCTAAACAACATGCCTCTGGAAACTATGAACTTTGGGAAATGACAATTATAGAAAGGCTTCAGGTATTTTGTTCATAGGGTCGCTATGAATCATGCTCGACTCGAGGACAATCAACAACACAACCACACAACTGAATAAATAAGTCAATAATTATCCATTTGAAAGTGGCCACCCACCATGTCACAACTCTATAAATAATCCAAGAATACACAGATAATTTTATTAACTGTGCTTTTGCAAAAGCATAGGCAATAAAGCAGATACACATCTTTCTGCTATTCTCTGTTTCCAGTCAAGATTGAGCTGACATCAGCAGTGATACCCCTTATTCCATGTCCTCCTCTGATTTCAATTTGAATTTCAGGACAGTTGTCCATTGATGTACTGCTTCAGCCATTTTTACATTATCTTCAGCAATATTTTGTTTGTATATAGTAGTTAATCATTGTTGCATTTAGAGACCCACCTTTATTTGGAATGGGCACAAATATGAGTGTCTCCCATTGAGTTGGACAGGTAGCACTCTTCCAAATTTTTTTTTCATAGGCAAGTGAGCACTTCCAATGCTGTATCCATTTGATGAGACATAATCCATTGATATTCCATCAATTCCAGCACATTGAATGCAGCTTAGATGTCTTCCTTCAATATCACCTGTTCTTGATCATATACTTAATTTCCTGAAATGGCTGAATGCTTAAAAGTGCTTTTTTGTGTAGTCCCTCCATTCCTTCTTCTTTTGATGTATCCTGCATTATTCAATATCCTTGCCCATAACAAGTGTCTTTTCTAATTAGTTACTTGTGTTTTACCACATCTGTTTGTCTTCCATTTATATCTTAGATCGTTCTCCTGGGATTGCTTCCCTTCCTCCTGAAGTGGACCCTTTGGAGTTCCATCAATAAGGGGTAATTGGTGGTGTGCCCATTCCAACAAAGCTCAAAATGTCTTTATTTTACTCTTGCTCTTAAATTATAATTTCTCTGAATATTAAATTCTAGATGGACAGGATTTTTTTCTTAGCATTTGAAAACATTATTGAACTTTTTATTGGCTCCCATTCTTATATTGAAAAGTCAGAAACCACTCTTCGCAGTTTTTTGATAGGTGAGGTGTCTCTTCTCTTTTGTTGGCTTTTAAAACATAATTGTCTCTGGTGTTCTGCAGGTTTGCTAGGAAATATCTACGGATATATTTCCTTTCCTTTTTATTGCACAAAATGTGTTATATTTTCTGAATTTAATATTGTGTCTAGATCATTCAGAACTAGGTTACATTGCATATGAGAAAATATAGAACAGTAGTTTGTAAAAGGCAGATTGTTTCTCCTTTATACATATATTATCAGGAATTATGCAACCTTATTAGGCCTATTAGCAATATCTTGATAGATGGAGAGAAGATTGAAGTAGTTAATGATTTGATCTTGCTTGGTTCCTTGCCAACAGCAGTCAGACTCAAGAGTGAAAGGGGTGGGAACAGAGGGCTGAGCATGGGTGGGAGAGAAACCACAGGGTTGCACAGTTTGGTGGGTGTAGGGAGCGGGTGAAGGAAATTACAAAGATCTGAGTAAAAACACAGTAATGATGGGCAAGATTCAAAGGTGATTTATAAAACATAATGTGTGGGAATAATTGTATGAAGCACAATATGAATGAGGACTAGGGTGAAACACAATGTATATGAACTTTATGAGCAAACCAGTTCTGACCTGGCTGATCTCTCCACTTTACTTCAGTTGAAATTGACCAATCTGGCCAAAGATGGAGTTCCACCGCCAGATGGTGTTCCGCCACCAGACGGAGTTCCGCCACCAGACAGCCAGGAAGAGACCCAGGAAGAGCAATAGTCAGCCATCCACCGCGGAACCCCAGAGGAGCGAAGACTACCCACCACTGTGCGACCCCCTGCAGCCCGCACCTGTGTGACCCCCGACACACAGGGTGCTGCTGCATAAACAACCAGCAGCGCCCAAGCCCCGCCCCCACCTCTTGGTGGTAGTGTCCAAGCCCTGTGCTCCTTACCCCCGTAGTCCCTTGCTTTCCTCCCCTTCCCCTGCCCCCCTTCCAGCTCCACAACCACGAAACTCAGCCCCCACCACAGCCCTGTGACCTCAGGGCACCACCAGGGATCCAGCCATCACCTGGAGCTATCAACCGAGCTGTTGTGGAATTAACCTGGCAGAAGAAAGGCCTGTAGGATCTTATCTGTGTTTACCGGGGCTGATTATCTGGGACAGCACCTAAGGGCATGCCCACACGTGGGGAAATTGGCCGAGCTCTCTTGGGTTCCCACCCAAAACGAGCCAGCCAGCTGGCTTCTGTGAACTCTGCAGACCAGCCAGAGGGTAGTGGGTTAGTGGGAAGTTGACCTTGACTATTTGGAGCCTGTTGGATCCAGGAACCTGCTGGAGCAGGGGCTGTTGTGTGACAGTACCTGTGTAAGTGCCACCAGGCAGGGAACACTGAGAAAACCATTGGGGAAGAAACGGACAACAGGAATTTGAGTAAGGACCCCAGTCGTGAGCACACTCAGACAGCAGAGGTTTGAGCAAGGTCCTCCATGTGATTGACCTGCCCTTGCGATCACCCAACCCTTTGCCTGCCTCACCCCACTTGGCTCCACACCAGTGCCTACAC